ACTGACAACATGGTCAGTTGGCGCCCGGGGGTATACAAGTAGCTTCGTCTCATCGGGCTTGTTTGCTGTCGTGGGGATGACGCGACCTGTTATTCTCACAGCCAACCATTCAATAAAGCTCCCAACAGTGTTATGTGAGATATTGAATCTCAAGTCGTCGTCCACAATGTGGCCAGTAGCGGCGAGGTATTCAGCTGGGGAAATTACAAGCTGGAGGTCTGTTCGGGGGGCATCGTAGTATCCGACAAATAGTGAGTGGTTCATGAAAGTGTTGAAAGCCTTCGTTAAGTTCGGGTCATTCTTGATATCGGGCGAACTAGCCGACAGGAAAGAGTCCAGATTTCAATTAGCATAAGAGCCCGCTACTCTTTCCTGTAGCACATTCTGCTCGACGAATGATTCATAGATGTTTGTGCAAAAGTAAAGCGCGCATTCTGTGGCAGTCACACCACTATCTTCCCATTTTTTCTTTCGTAGGCGAAAGTCCTGGTTGGCTGACATTATGGAAAAGGAATATATCAGGGACTGGAGATGACCGAACGTCAACGTACGTCCCGGGTTGTAGGTTGACTGTGCAGTAAGTTCGGCACTTGCTTTTGCCTCGTCGATGTATTCTCCCTTTGACTTGTTCCCATTAAAGTTCGACATGCTTAGGTTCAGATATGGTATCTCGAATCTGGTATAGTTGGGCTTATCCCCCAATTCGGGATGGCCCAGCTTGTCCGGCAGGGTGACGACGTCTTCATCCCACCATGCTTGTCCCCAGGACTTCTCGATTGTAGATGATATATCGTTGCAGGAGCTGCAGACAGCTACTGATCCAAATGAGTTCCAGGTACAATTACCAGTTGAACACTCGAAAGCCGCCTTTGTACTTTCGGGTGAACTGAGGTCGGAGAGGCCTTCCCATACTGCGGCCATTGCGCCAAAGTCACATTCGGTCTTCATGGGTGCTTGCAAGAAGGAACCCCAGGGCTCGGGCATTTCGAATTCCGAATGACCGTAAGAAAAAACCGAAAATTCTCCTGCGTCTAGTCTATCGGCTCTTCCGATGTGGCTTGCCATCGTCGAGTCTGTGTAGTTGACATTTTCTCCCGAAAAGGTGATGACGGCTTGTAGGAACGGTTCAAAGCCAACCAGTATGACGGCGGAGAGAGCTCCGAGAGCGATCCAATGCCTGAGTGAATTAGCTTATACGCTGTGGAATTAAGTACTAGGACTTTCATACGTTAACTTGGTCCACCATAGCAGGCGAACGCTTCCCCAAGGACCCCGACTTGCTTCCTCGAAACGGTCAAACACCATGACATTCTCATCTCGTCTTCGGAACCAGTTCCACTTTCCCTGACTGATATAAGCGCTGATAGCAAATGCCAGTGATGCACGAGAAGTTGCTCCGAGAGTGGAAATGACGGTGTTGAACGATATAGAGAACTTCCAAGATGATAACGGCTTATTCTGATAGAGGGGAAGAAGAATAAGGATTGCGGCAAACGATATTAAACTCAGAATGATTGCTGACAGTTCAAGAGCCCAGTGGTACTCTCCAGTTGGAAGCAAGCGAGCTCTCCCGTCACTCGGTCTTGATTTCGTATCCTGCGAAGATTGCTCGGCGTCTCCGGCAGACTCTTTGTTTGCTATCAGACTGTAACGAGGCGCCGGGTCGCTTGGTGCATGCTCTGGCTCGGGACTGGGCACGCGGCTGGGCGGCGCGATTGTTTCTTGTGAAGGAGAAGAGAATACGTAGAAGGAGTTGGGCGAAAGGTCAATGGGGGGTAGTTGCGGTACGTCGAGACTGCCCATCGCATCGTCCCGAGGCGAGCTGCGACTCGATGACATGGTTCCTCTCTAAGCCAGTCCGTGACACGACGCAGGTTTCGGAGGTATGAGAGAGTTTAGCAGGCCGTATGGCATGACAGCCGTACGTCTGAGGATGGCGTCCAGCCTTATATCCATCTGCTCCGAGTCACCACCCAAGTGAGGTCGTACAGCATGCTGACCAACTCTCAGCCTGATCTTTGCACCATTTTAAGGCCGTGGACTTAAGCTGTACCTCGCCGCACATTTCGTTTATTAATACTACCAGCATCTCACTGCGTTATCTGGAAAACATGCTTGGATGGTCATCTTGAGCCCAAGAACAGCTTTGTATGGCTGCCTCGTCGATACTGATAACACTCGGTTTCCCTTTGCGGGTTAGTGTCACGTATTCATGCTGTGCAACATCACGCAGATGGTCTTTTCCGGCTTGACTATCACCTCGAGTGAAGATCCTGCGCCAGCCTGATTTTAAGTGAAATGAAATAAGGAGCGTGCTTTTTGTGGCTGTTCTTGGGCTTCGAGTTATCATCTTCAGGACGGAGTGATGCAGAGGACAAGGTTAGTTTCCAGTCTTTGGGTATACTAATATGCGATTGCAACAAAAACGACGCGAGTTGGTCAAGAGGAATCAGCTAGGTTCCAAACAGGGTTGTTGGTATCAGTATTACAGTAAACACCCGCTTGGCTCGTGGACAAAACCGAGGAAGATCGAAAGTAGTGCCCCGCCCTTGAAAGGTGTTTTGGGCAACCCTATATAGTCTTAAGAACCCCGTAGAGTGCTCTCTTCTGCCTGTCCATAGCAGTAACCCAGAACTTGTGAGATCAGACGACATCATCTAGTCTCGGCAGACCACCATTTTCGGCCCGGCTCCGAACAGCATCCCCCGCCCCCGGGCCACCGTTTGCCGGCAAAAACAAAACAAAGTCTCCTCTCAAGGTCTTCTGGAAATCTAAGTTGTTTTCTTCTTTCCCATCTCCACCATGCCCCATGATTGAATGCGGGGTAAACCCATGCTTAGAGCTTTCTCCAAGACTCCACCAGTTCAAGCGGTCCAATGCCGTCACCTGGAGCACCTCGGGGAAGATAGTTCCATGGGGGAATCCTGGCCTTGACCGGCCCCAAACCTTGGTTGAAATAGCTTCGGTAAAAAGCCCACCGCCCCTTGGCTCAGCACCAACCCAAACGTAGCTTGGGAGCCGATGTTGGTCCACGATCGAATCGGGGTCGAATGACGATGCTCATTAAACACGAGGAAAATAACGGTGCGGGGGATGCGGAGCCGAACAAAGCCATTGCCCAATGGCTCCAACTTCCGGGCCATCCATAGATGTCCCCAGCCAGCATCTCCGATGGATGTCGCGTCCTTTTAAGAGAGAGACCGTCCTCCTCTTCTTCGCCAGTGTAACCTTCTTCTCTCTCATTGCAGCTTTGCCTCTCACGTAGGTCTTTACGCGAGTCTCTATTTCCGCAATGAAGGGTCTTGCCATCGCCTTCGCGGCGCTTGTGTCGTCGACATGTGCGCAGTACATGAAGACTCCCGCCTCGCCTCGTTATGTCTCTCACAAGGCCGTCCCGAGACAGGCCGGCAACCAGACCAGCAACTCATGGCCCTACGCTCCCTTCAGCACTCGCGGACGTGACATCGTCAATGCCCGCGGTGAAGTTGTGACTTGGGCTGGTGTTAACTGGCCGATGAGTGGTACGTTCAACATCTAGTGAAGACTTTACAAGAGCACCTGACTAACAAACCATGAAGGAGAGACTATGGTTCCTGAGGGTCTGGAATGGGCCTCAGTTGATCAGATTCTCGACGATGTCGAGAGCGTCGGCTTCAACTACATCCGCATGTAAGTCCTCATCATTCTCGCATGCGTGTGATCCGTCGCACACCTTGGATGAACCCCAGCTCACACTCTCCTCAGGGGCTACGCCATCGAGATGGTCGACCAAATCTACGACCGCGCCGGCGAGGACGTTCCCCTCGAAGTCGCCATGATCACGGCCCTAGGCTTCGTCAACGGCACAAAGGTCACCAACGAAATCATCCGCAACAACCCGACCTGGACCCGCGAGACGACCCGCTTCGAAATCTGGTCTGACATCGTCGAGGCCGCCTACGAGCGCGGCATCTTCATCTCCCCCGACGTGCACGTCGGCAAGGCCCAGTGGTGCTGCTCCCACACGGACGGCAACGCCTGGTTCGACGACGTCAACTTCAACACCACCCACTGGCGCCGCGGTCTCTCCTACGTCGCCAACTGGGCAAAGTCCCACCCCAACATCGTCTCCCTCTCCCTCCGCAACGAGGTCCGCGAGTCGTGGAACGTGACGAACCTGTACTACAACTGGGACACCCTCGTCGGCAACTTCTCCGCCGGCGCCGACGCCATCCACGAGGCCAACCCGGACGTCCTCATCCTCTGGGGCGGCATGCAGTACGGCCAGGACCTGTCCGCTCTCACCTCAGGCAAGAACTACCTGACGGCGCCGTGCTACAAGTGCACCGCCATCCGCGACGCCGCACGCCGCCAGCCAAAGGTGTTTGACCTCGACAGCCACGCCTGGGCGGACAAGCTCGTCTGGGAGCTGCACCTGTACAAGATGAGCGAAGATGTCGACACGGGATCGTGCCCCATTATCGAGGCGGGTCTCTACCGCAACGGCTTCAACGCGTTGGGCATTGACAAGCCTGCCGCCTGCAATGTTACAAACGACTGCCCTAAGGCAAGCCGGTTGACGCCCGTCATCTTCTCCGAGTTTGGCAACGGCCAGGACGATACGCTCCGCAACGATACCCTTCAGGTGTGTCTGAGGGAGTACACCGTCAAGCACAACGTTAGCTGGATGGTCTGGGGTCTTGCCGGTAGCTACCGTGTGCGCTCCGGCGCGCAGGGTGTGCCCGATACGTGGGGTCTGTCCAACTATGAGTGGAACGGTTGGAACTCTCCCGAGACTATTGAGGATATCTGGAAGCCTTGGGTGAAGGCTATGAACCCGACCAGAAAGTCATGAGTCACGGCTCTATAGTCCAAATAGACTTTAATCTGAATTATAATGTGATCTCATTGCTATTCCACAACACCCATTGAATTGGTTTACTTTATGTGACATAATACCGTCTTACTTCTAGCCTAGAAGCGACAATGTTTCGACAAACACAGCCTCTCAGTGTACCAGCCTAGACTCTGCAAAGCTGCCCGTTACTGCTTTGCTTCCAGCCCTCGTTTCCGACACAAGGCTGGCACCAGAAAACGTCGTCTGGATCGACGGTCTTTTTGATCTTGAGAAGGCGCTCGTAGTTGGTGCCCCAAAAGGTATGTTGCCAGTCTTCCTCGTATGACAGACCCTGTGGCATGTTAAGAGGGGCTTCAAGACTGTTAGTTTCGATCGCTGTTTCTGACTTACCTCATTCAAATAGGAACCTCCACCAGGCGTCAACTGTCGGAAGCCCTCGACTGAGTCGTAAATACTCTTCTCGGCCTCACTCTTTGACGTCTCATTGAACGAAGTCCATCCAACGGCAGTGACTATGAGAAACAATGATTAGCTCGGGCAACTACTCTTAGAGTAATGAACATAACTTACTAGCATGGATATAGGCAGTCCTCCACGCCGGGTGCACTGCATCACCTCCGCCCCTGGGCTTCGCATTATGCACACCCTTCCCGGATACCAAAAAGGCGTACATGCCACCCACATTATCAGTCGCCGTCTTCACCGCGCCAGCAAGAGCATTCAGATCCTCCGTCAAAGGCTTCTCATCCAGCAAACGAGAAGCCAGCAGCTTGTTGATGCCGCCCTTGTTCATGTCATAATTCTTATCATAAAAGTCAAGCCATGACGGATACTCGGTAGTAATCTTGGCAAAGGTGACATTGGGCCAGCGTTCCATGACGGTCTGGTTGATTGACGTCCAGACCCTATTGACTTCTTCCCGGTCCGTGTCATCCTGCATCAGAGAGATGCCAATGACGCCTGCCGCGTTCGGCGGGAGGCCCGGTGAGCTGACGGGGTTCGGCATGTGCGAGTTGATCAGGGCGTAGCCTGCGAGACCCGCCTTCTCGAGGGCGGGGACATTTGAGAGAAAGTAGGCGGCGAGGTCTGGGATGATGGGAGACCTGAGCTCGGTGAGCATCGCCCAGGCCGTGTGGGTGATTGGCGGCGACGGGTGTGTCGCGAAGGTGATTGAGGTGAGAACGCCGAATGTCGATCCTCCTCCCTGTTAAAGTCAGCACTCAAGGTAAGGTCTCAAAAACGAGGGATACTTACACCGCGCATGGCCCAGAACAGGTCAGCGTTCTGAGCCTCGTTGAGAGTCAAGATCTCGCCCAGGGGCGTGACGACTTCCATCTGCAAGACATTATCCGCTGCCAGACCGAAACGCGGCGCGAGCAGCGAGTGGCCGCCTCCGGTAGCGTACCCCCCGACGCTCACCGTCTTGGCAGTTCCGCCGACAATGGCCTGGCCGTGTTCGGCAGTGGCTTTGTAGAGGTCATACATCTCGGTGCCGCCTCCGGCAGTAACCGCGCTTCCTGGGATAGTGATTTCGCTTCCCGCGAGCTTGAACTCATCCGCGTGGTACTCTATGCCCGTCATATGATGCACCCAAATAGAAAGTGAACCAGGGGCGATCGATCTACCTAGGTAATCATGCCCGGTGCTTTTCACAATAAGCCTCACATTATTCTTCCTCGCTATAACCCCAGTCAACACTCATACACCAAGCACACACACAAGACGGAAGCAGATATAAAAAACGCAACATACCAAAATCGATACCAATTTTGACATGCTCCGGCGTGGTAGCATTCACGACGTACGCAGGGTATCCGTCACCGCTGCACAGATAAGCCGGGTCAGGAAGGCAGGAGTCATTAGCGAAGTTGCTCCAGACGACGGAGACGGGGTCGTCGACGTGGAGCTCGTACGAGTTCCACCGGGCCTCGACGTCGGCGCAGGCGGTCTCGTTGTAGGCGTCCTGTCCGGGATGGCAGACAGCTCCCGGAGGAGACGGGCGGAGAAGTCGTCCGCCTCCGAGGGACTCGCCGAGGCGGGCCCACTCTGCTGCGGAGGGCCAGTCAGCGGTGCCTGGGTAGGATTTGCACGTTGGTTCGTAGGAGGAGTCTTGGGCTGGGGCGAGGGAATCGTGGGACACGATCCCGAAGAAGAGGTATCTCGCGATGTGCGGCAACATGGTTTATCAAATGACGAGACTGAGACTCTTAGGATTTGAAGCTCCGGGGCTACGGTCTTACCTGAAGAGAATCATGATTTGGAGGCCGAGGCATGGTTACTATATAAATTGTCGCGATCGTCGAAGGAAGCCTAGAGTGGGCGATGTTTGTGCAGCAAACAAGTCTGCCGAAGCGGCACGGAAAGGACTGGGGCTGAGACAACGAGGTTGCAACGGGGCGTCGTGAGGCGTCGTCTCTAAAGGGAAGTTGCCCGAGATGAACGCTCGTTGGATGATATGTCAGACAATGATGTTGCCAACCAAGAAATCCTTATTGCGAGGATTAAGCATCCCACTACATCTCGGTTATCTTTCAGCTCCTTGCAAGACGGCAAGCACAATCCCAACCACGTTGTATCGGGGCGCTAGTGAGATCATGATGTAGGGTGAGATTCATCTAGCCGCTACAGCTCGTCAACGGTTTACCATGTGTTGCATGTCAGACTCGGCTGTGGCTTGGCCGGGCGTTGGCCAACCCGAAACATGCGAGCGGTGAGCCATCATCGTGTGTCCTGTAGTCATGTTGCATTCTAGACAAGAGCCTCACGATGTATCCTCATCAGTCATCAGCCTATCTTGTCTCACAACCTAGACAATGGAGATACTACATCACGTCAGCAACCGAAGAGTAGGTAACCTTTGGTGGACTATGCCGTACACTGCAATACACAACCAGGACTGAGTTTTGTCTTGTTAAATGAAGAACTATGAGACGTACTTGAAGGATAAGAGACTCTGAAAGGATAAATGCCCTTGGCAAGCTTGATTGGGCCTATCGTGGTTCCAACATCAACAAACTGCATGCAAACATAGTATCGGGCGATTTGAATCATGTCGGCAGTCGGAACTCTCCAGGATCTCAATCGCCTCTTTAGTACAATGGTAAGGTGCGTTAGGACACTGACGATTTGTGCAACTCGAGTTTCGCACACCCAAAGCTCCATAATGACTCTTGATCGACCACGTACCAATTGATACTGCATGATAATACCAGTGCCGTCTTTTACAACTACAATCGTTAGAAAATTTGTGTAAAAGTGCCACATGATGGACGCTTTTCTGTGGCTACCTTTGAGAGATACACCTATTACGCCTCAAGGTATCACCTATGGCTACCACAATGCTTATATTTCATCTTGTATGTTACTGCCCCGCAGCACTGATACATCGACCACTTGAGTAACTCACATTACGATGCATCTTGAGAAGCCTGAGCAACAGGCCGCTCGAACGGAGCCTTGGTGCAATCTTCTGAGAATTTGCCTTCGCCTACTCTTCACTACAAGGCAATTCGTCTTCAACTCAGTGGTCTACGCGGGCTTCCTCGCCATCCGACACGAGCTCGGTCAGAATCTGTGGGTGTTCTGCTGCTGGATCTCCCTTCAATACAAAAACAACCCCTTTCTCGACTTCCTATCCTTACGGATGTCTTTAGTTGTACCAGACGATGGCCCGTCGCAATCTTGACCACCAGGAACCCAAGAGGCGTCGGGGGCGGGAAACGAAGGTAACGGTGAAGCAGGGCTAGGTGGCGGTGGTGAAGGCGGCGGAGACGGCTCCGGCGTCTCGACATACCTCATACTTTCCAAAAGATCCCAACTCGCGTCCATCGAGGCGCTCAACCTCGCTCGATGGATCCGTACGTCCAGTGAGCTGGCCAAACATGTGCGGTCCAGGTAGTCAAAGAAGTACCCCTCGAGCATTGAGCTTTCAGCCTCACTCGTAACACGATCCCAGTTTGTGGCAGCGACGACGACGTGCCGGAATCCACGGGACTTGAAGGCGTTCAGAAAAGCGTCCAGGTTACGAACTGCGTAGTTAGCGTTGCTTAGATCCATGACGCGCTGGAGGTAGATGACGCCATCTATCTGTCTGTCCATGGACTTGAGCCGGGTCTTGATGTAGTTGAGTGTATCCATGTCTGGGAGGTGCCGCTTGTCGGGAGAGAGACCGGTTGTGTCGATGAGATGGATCTGGAGGTTCTGTTCATCAAGGTTGGCTATGTGTATGCTGATGTCGTCGTCTTGGGCAGCTACGTAGTCACCAGCGTTCTCGAAGAGGGATCGGATAAAGGATGTCTTACCACAGCCTCTGGGGCCGATTACTGCTATTGTGAGAGTCTTCATTCTTGTGTGTTTGTCAGACTTCTGTAGGTAAGTGCCTACTGAGAGCGAATGTCGGAGGGTTGCCAGAAGCGGCTTCAGGGTGGTCATTATACGATGAAACATCTGTAGCTATATCTCTGCTGTCAGAACTCTATCAAATCAAGTTCGAAAATCCTGTATTGTGTCCCTCACAAGAGGTATGCGTGGTGGACGACCTCTAGACCAGACCGGGTTCTTTTAAGGTATTGACAATAAGTAGGAGGTCTCAGGCAGGTGGCTCTACGTAGACCTAAGGAAGCCACAAGACTCTCTTGGACTCAAGACAAAGTATGTTGTAGATTACTGTATTTCAAGGCATTACTAGCTAACAAGGAACAATAAAGGGTTGTCAAAGACTAATTGCGTTGTTGAAACAGCTCCTCTCGAAGACAAAGCTGTAAATCCAGAATCATTGTTCATGCCGGCCTCGAAGTTCACAATCCCCCATGCTGTTTGGTCAAAAGGAAGGGACCAACCTCTTTCGTATCTACAAGCTTAGCGTCAGGAATCGAAAAGCTTGACCTTAACTTCGAGGTCGGTTTGCACTCGACTGGAGGAGACTCAAAAAGCCGACAACTTCACGCGGCGGGAGGTTCGCGGACTACTTAGACCGCGACGTGGCCTCCCTTCCCAAGACGGACATCTGAGATGTTCTCAATTGTCTGGCCGGTTGGCCCAATGGCAAGGCGTCTGACTACGATACACCGTGGAATCAGGAGATTGTGGGTTCGACCCCCATGCTGGTCAAATTATTTTGCCAATTCGAGCAATAATGCATTTTTGACCTCTTCTCTCAACGAGGGATCGCTCTGGAGGTTCCTTTTTCTCAAATCGCACTCATTTGTGGACACGCCTGGCTAGTGTTGACCCTGTGACTGTGAGGAGAGTGACGCTTTGTTGCCGACACCTCAGCACCGCTAAACTCTGACAATGGCGTTGTACAGTCGTTGCGGCCGCTCAAGAAACTTGGAGAGCACTTGCCAACTCACTCTTGCCTTTGTTTGCTACATCTAATGCGTAGGGGAGGCATTCGAAAGTCTAGATGTAGCAAACAAAGGCTAGAGTGAGTTGGCAAGTGCTCTCCAAGTTCTCTAAACTAAAGAGTAAGCCGGCGCATCACCGGTTGCTTTCTAAAGATGTGGAAAGTTTGGCAACCACATTGTTTGCCGGGATGAGCTTAAACGTAGGGAGTTTAGCTGCCGTTGCTAGCCCTGCACGGCAGACTTTCTGCTAAACTGGGCTCAACTCTATCAAGCCGCCCCCAGTTCGAACTTTCTTCTTTCTTAACGTTCTTCTAAGACATATTGGAGGCCAACCAAGCTAGCTCCAAGTTTTCTGGATAACTCGGCAAGTCGACCTTCCAAAGAGGGTGTACGCCGAGGCCGCAACTATTGCACCAGACAGGGGGGCGGAGAGGTTGGTCAATTGGTTTGGTTGAGGAACGTGTGAGATGGGATGCTGTGCCGCAGTGACGTACTACCTTGGCACCTTGGTATCAGAGCGCCGCCGGAAGCCTTGAGAAAAGATACGGAAAGGTAGTACCTGGAACAATGAGTAGGTGTTCCGTGGGGGACGGCTGTATGTGTGATACGAGCAGTCCCGTCGAGTGGGACTCGGGCGCAGAATGAGAAGAATGTTGCGCGAAGGGTCTGTGTCTCAGTAGAGGGTAATAGGCTACTCAAGGCTGGAGGCTCAGCCCTGCCGATCGTCAGCAGTAGCGATTGTAGATCAACTGAGGATTCCTCCCAAGCAGTAGCCTTGAGTCTACCCGTAGAAGAAGCAACTCCAGGTTGGGAAGAATGATGGCACTAGGGTAGCTAGGAATTGATCTTGAGCAACGTGGGACTTGAATTACAATGTACGAAGTATTCTGAGCTTCCGCCCGGCTGCCCCATCCCCGCCCCGCCGTTGTCTTTTCCTACGAATCCGAGCCAATTGCAGCGGGAGCGAGTCCGCCCACCTTGATCCTTCGCCCACGGACTGGACGACTGCGGACTGACTGACTGCAGCAGTGATGGCTTCTGTGCAGTTGTGTAGGCAGTAAGTACGGATACGCAGTTTGAGGAGAGAGTTGGGTGATTACATAGTGTACATAGGGTGCAGATCAGCAAGGTGCAGGTGCTGACGCTGCTGACGGGACGGGGAAGGCGCCCAGCGGGAACTTGCAGGGGTCGCAGGGGTCGCATGCCACGTCGCGTGCCGACTTTCCCAGAAGTCGACGAGCAAATTGCACCAAATTACAGCTAATTGCAGCGAATCTGCACCCAAAATACTCGACTTGGCGACGCAAACAGCCCATCTTGGCCCCTAAGCCTTGAAGGACCTAAGGAGACCTGAGGTGAGTCTGCCTACCTAACTCCGGTCCTGGCAAGCCTGGTCAGTCAGTCACCAGTGTTCGGATTTCTCTTCCATATTCTCTTGGCGAAATCTGCACGGCATCCTCCATTCATCCTTCCACCCTCCTCCCCTCGGTTCCGCCCAGACGTCTTGGTATTTTCTTTCCCTCGTGTCCTTGTCAGCCTGTTCCTTTTCGGTTGGGGTTTCTTCATTGTGTTTTTCTTCATATTCTCTTTTTTCCTATCTTTCCCTTTGCGGATACCAAAGAGACGAGACCTTAGAGGCAATACATCTCCGACGACCCTAATTCTCTTAAAGATCCACGCATGCGCAGCCACCCCTGTCGGACGACGACGACGACGACTGCGCCGGGCCCCTTTCCATCAATACGATAAGAACTACTCGAAAAAAAGAGAGAGCGACATCCCATTTCAGTACACGCGGCCTCCCTCACCCTCCAGAACCCCATACTTTTCGACCTTGGGAAAACCTTCGACGCTGTCAAACCATCCGCATACGTCAAAAATAACGATCCCGTCCCGTCCCGTCTCCAATTCGTCCATTCCAGCGCCGCCACATCCCGCACGCGTAAACCCAATCTCGAAACGAAAGCTTGCGGCGGTTTAAGCTTGGGTCGATAACCACGGCACGGGTACAGAAAGGCGCCAACCGCCACCATTACGGATACAAAACCCACGAGGTCTTCATCTTCAAAGGTTCAGGGTAACCCGCTTCGACACCCTATTTCCGAAAGACGACAAGAATCCCATATAAGTGGTGGTTCAGACCTCGTCTTGGGTTCAGCAATCAAACCCAGGCTGGTTCGTCTCGTCTCAACACATTGCGCAGCGGGAAACCTTGACGGCAAAAAAAGGGAAAAAAGACCTACGCACACACCAGAATCCGCAGAGAAGGAAGGTCACCAACATGTCGTTCCCAGCCCCAACCCGCCCGCGGCGTGGCGTGGTTTGCGTCGCCGCCTTCTTCATCCTCACCACAATCTTCCTCGCGGCAGCCCGCCTCGCCTCCCTAGACCTCACATCAGCCATCCGTCGCCGTCCCGCCGCGAAGACGACATCCGAGCCCTCACCAGCCGATGCGCCCATGTCCTACGGCGAGACCGCCCGCCCAGGGTTCACCGACCTCTCCGTCCACATCGCCACACTCCCGGAGCGTCACCTCCCGTCCCGTGAGAACCCGAGCCGCAGGCTCATTGTCGTCGGTGATGTCCACGGCATGCGCGTCTCCCTCGACAGGCTGCTCGAGGAGCTGCACTTTGACAAGTCCCGCGGCGACCACCTCGTCTTTGCTGGCGACATGATCAACAAGGGCCCCGACTCCCGCGGTGTCCTCGACCTGGCCATGCGCCTCGGCGCCTCCGCCGTACGTGGAAACCACGAAGACCGCGTGCTGCTCGCACACCAGAACATGAAGACGACCTACGTTACCGACTCGGACGCTCACGGCAATCCCGTCACCAAGAGAGAGGAAGAGGCAGGACAAGCCAAGGCCGAGGAGAACAAGGAGGAGGACAAGAAGCCTGAAGAACCTCCCACCGACAACGCCTCACCCGAGGCCGAAGACCAAGGAGAAGACGGCGAGGACGAAGACGAAGACGAAGCCTCCCTAGAAGAGACCGAACAAGACGACCTCGAACCCTCAATCTTCCCCCACGGCGACTCCAAAGAACGCGCCACCGCCCGCTCCCTCACCCGCAAACAACTCAAGTGGCTCTCCACCCTCCCCGTAATCCTCGACGTCGGCGCCGTCGAATCCATCGGCGGCAACCTCGTCGTCGTCCACGCAGGCCTCGTCCCGGGCCTCTCCCTCAGACACCAAGACCCCTGGGCCGTCATGAACATGCGCGGCCTCGTCTACCCGCGCGAGGAGCTCCGCCGACAAGAAGCCCACCGCGCCCTCGAAGACTACCGCAGGACCCACACCGCCGCCCCCGGCGTCACCGAGACCATGATCCAGCGCGAGCACGAGCGCCGCCGCAAACCCCACGATCGCAAGATCGCCATCCCCACCGACCGCCGCGACGGCTCCAGCAGCTGGCCGAAGGCGTGGAACGCGCACCAAAAGGCGCTGCCTGAGAAGGAGCCCCGCACCGCAGTCGCTTACGGCCACGATTCCAAGCGCGGTCTGCAGATTGACAAGTTTACGTTTGGTCTCGACTCGGGCTGCGTCAACGGCGGGGAGCTGACTGCTCTCGTCATCGAGGCGTCTGCCGACGGCGGCGTCACGCATGCCATCAAGAGCACAAAGTGCAACAAGGACGAGGGGCGAAAGGACAAGAAGAGGAACAAGAAGCACAAGAAGAGCAAGAAGGGGAAGAAGAGCAGCGAGGAGGTGGATGAGGCCAAGTCATAGAGACGCGTTCCCCCCTGAACAAGGAAGCCGTGTTGTCTCTTAGTAAGAAGAGGAAAAGGGGAGAAAAAGAAGCATATCAAGCAAGCTGCATGTCCAAGACGGACAACCCAGAAACGAAGGAGAGAAGAACCAACTGCATCTGCATGTGTGTGGGCTGGCTGCCCAACACTTCCTCTCAAGGGAGGAGAACAACGGAAATGGATATACCTAGAAGTCGTCGCCAACGTCTCTAACACACCACCAAGAGACGTTTCATTGTACAAAATAAGTTGCACCCATAAGGCATAGGGACGCGAGCAGCAGCAGCAGCAACCACCGTAATGAAGGAAGGCATCATCATCATCCCACTAGGCGTTTTAGTCATTAGAGCAATGCAAATTCACATTCTGAACTCGGGACATTGGGAGACCAATTTCTCGGATTTTTGCTACCAAGCAGTCTATCTTTGTGATTTTATGCCTCCCTCCGAAAAAAAATAAAGTTGACTTCCACACAACTCAGCGTCTCTTCCATCACTTGACGCGCCGTTTGCTGGGGTGTGTGTTATGTGTGTGATGGGGTGGAATTGTTTGTTTTCCTTCTCATTAAGTCATTCTCACATCATGATATATATCCTCCTCACAACGGGAAAGTTGTCTCGCCCGCGGGCGTGGCTTTTTTGTTTTTTGGTTATACCGCTTTCTCATCAAGGCAGGCAATTTATGCCTGGACCTTCTGCTTGATGATGTCCTTGAGGGTGATGGCATCAGCGGCGAACTTGGAGATACCCTCACGGAGCTTCTCGACGGCCATCTGCTCCTCGTTGAAGTCAAAGCGGAAGAGGGGCTCGTTGCTGATGTAGGACTTCTTCTCGAGGTTGAGGCTGGAGGCGGCGGCGGCATCGAGCTTCTTGGGGACGGGGGCGTCGGAGTTGAGGAGCTCCTCAAGCAGGTTGGGCTGGTAAACGTATTAGTGACTGGTTCTCTAGAGCATTTGAAGTTACAATAAGGGGTGGCAAACGTACAGAGATGGTGAGGTAGTCGCAGCCGGCAAGCTCGGTGATCTCGCCAGTGTTGCGGAAGGAGGCACCCATGACAATGGTCTTGTAGCCGAACTTCTTGTAGTAGTTGAAGATGGTGCCGACGGACTTGACACCGGGGTCCTCCTCCTTGGTGTACTCCTTCTTGTGGGCGGCCTTGTACCAGTCGAGGATACGGCCGACGAAGGGGGAGATGAGGTAGGCACCGGCCTCGGCGGCGGCGATGGCCTGGGTGATGGAGAACATCAGGGTCAAGTTGGTGTTGATGCCATGGTCGCGCTGAAGGATCTCGGCGGCCTTGATACCCTCCCAGGTAGAGGCGATCTTGATCAGGACGCGGTCCTTGGAGATGCCCTGGGCCTTGTACAGCTGGAGTGGGTGTTAGCAAAGTTGCTCAAAACTATTCAACGTCGCATATGAGACGTACGTCAATGATGTGAAGGGCCTTGTCGACGGAGGCCTTGGTGTCAAAGGAGAGGCTGGCGTCAACCTCGGTGGAGACCTTGCCGGGAACGACCTTGAGAATCTCCTTGCCGAACTCGACGAGAAGGGCATCGAGGGCGTTGTCAACCTGCTCGTCGACGGAGCCACCCTGCTTCTTGGCGAAGGCAACGGCCTCGTCAATCAGCTTGGCGTACTCGGCCTTCTTGGAGGCGGCGAGAATGAGGGAAGGGTTGGTGGTGGCATCCTGGGGCTTGTACTTGGCAATGGCTGTATAGTCGTAGAGTCAGCAAACATCCTCTGTGTATTGGTATCATGCCCGAATCCATTGAATGTGTTGGCCATGATGGATCGAAGGTTGTGGTGGCAAAGTGGTGATCAGGAAGTTTTTGAGAGATTTTGGGGGAATGGCGGGGAGGAAGAAGGCGGGGTGGACTGACAGGCAAAGTCGCCAGAGTCGCTGACGACGACGGTGCCGGTGGCCTTGAGCTGGTCGAGAGAGGAAGACATGGTGATGTTTGATGAAGGAATTGTGGCGGTTGTTGGTGGGAGATTGACTTGAGGAGGAAGAGAAGAGAGAAGGAGAAGAGAGGGAAAGAAGAAGAGCGGATGTGAGGTCGTTGAAGTAGTAGATCTTTGTTGAGGAACAAGCGTACCGTACCGTACCGTACCTCCCCCGGGGGACGGGGCGAGGGGTAATTTGTCCCTCATCCTCGCACCTCTCACACCTCACACCTCACACGCCCGGACGACGGACGGTAGCCGCCCCCCCTAGTGTGGGTCTAAAAGTGTCACGTATCTGAGAGTACTTCGTACCTTTAGACCTTGGTACATGACATGAGCAAAAACCGCCGCGTCTTCCCCGAAGATGGGAGAAGCTGACGGTAAGTATCTCAGGTACATTGAATGGCTGTGATGCTGTAGAATCCCGTCCGTATTCATGATCAAGAGCCCTGGCCGTTCAGGAACATGGACCCAATGTTTCTTGTGCCAATTCAACTGACTACCTAGGCTATTCAATGCAGTTTCTTCTAGAATGTCGATCAAATTTTTTTTAAACTTCTTCAAGACTGCTTGACGAGGCAGGTTGTTGGTTCGTCTCTCAGCCCCTCCTCTGTACTCTGTACCGTTCTGGATGCTCTCTGCTTCGAGTGCTTAGACTTACTTACATCAGCAATTGACCGTCACCGTCACCGTCACCGTCACGGCCTGTCCCTTTTTTTTTGTCCCTCCCCGCCCACCGTTTGGCGGGGTATTATTACGTCGTGGTGACCCACACCACGCAGACGGCCGTGAGTAAGGCTGCTGCAGAGTGCAGAGGTGTGTTGTGCTCTGTGCTGGTGGTGCAGTTGCTGCTTCAGCTTGCAGCCACCAGGCACGACCCAGCGATAGAGGTATCCGTAAAGTAAGGAGCCCCCATCACCATCCGCCCCTCCATGACCCAGAATCATCGTCATACCCCCAGTGTTTTCCGTGGAACTCGATGCCAGTTTCGAATAATGCTGCTTGCTGTCCTTTTTTATCTGTTGTTGAATGTCACTTTTCGCTGGATCCCAAGAACATTTCACATCGGCGGTTCCGCTTTTTGGCTGTCGCAAGTCCCTGTCGGATATCCTCAATGCTAGCCAAGGCTGGTTTCTAAAAAATCGCTCTCACTCTTTGGGCCTCTGAGTATTACCCGCTCGCTGCGAGGCTGCTGCTTCTTCGTACGTGCACAGGCCCTGAGAAGAGGGAATCCGACGTAATGGTACCCATAGAAAACGGAGAAAAATCGCGAATCGCGATCCGTGGATGGGAATCTCGAGTCGTTCAGGACAACCAATACCAGAGTAATCCATCGTTCCTGATAGACGAAAACCAAGGAAGATATCGGCTGAGGCGTCAAAAAAGCGAATAAAGCAGCTTGCCTGGGTTCTTGCAATATGGGGCGAACAGAAAGAACCTCGGAAGACCAGAGATATCGTCTCTGTAGGCCCGACTCGAGATCCAGAGCCTTCAAAGTACCGTATGGGCGGGATTGGATGTATCATCTCTTCGGTGTTAGGCGATGTCAAAAGTTGCTGGGTCACACGCCGCCGTTCGCCATCGCCGTTCCCATCCCGCCGTCGCCGTAGGTGGCCCCCCGTCCGTTCCGGCACCTTCTAATCAACACTGGACTTCAGCAAGTAAGAATGCGACCTAATTACAGGCACTTGGCTAGCTCGCCTGAGACGTCAGTTGCCGTCGTTTCTTCATGTCGGAAATATGAGCCATCTCCTTCGGCCCAAATAACCCATCGCCGCAACCTAGGTATCCGTACCTTTCTTGGACCGTCAATGAGAGAGGCATACCACCCGTAATCGTTTTGAAGGCTCTTCTACATGAATTGGGTCTAGGCCTCGTCTCATCCAAAGAATCGACCCCAAGATTGCGCAAAACCAAAGGGAACTTGGCATTGTGACTCAGCCCATTCTCCCATCCACGACTCTACGGGCGTCCATCGTGCTTCTCGCCTCTCACCACGTGCTCGCCATCGCTCTTCATTGGTCCCCCAAGACTTTGACCACCCTTGACTTTATCCGTCAGATCCGCCCGCCGCCTCAATTGCCCCTCGGTTGTCATGGCGGGTTTATCTCGCAATACTCAGATAGTAGTGTAGACCCTTCCCGCGTACCCCCATGCCAGTAAGGACCTCTTAATTCGTCGATAGTCCCGGTCGCGAGAGAGACTACACGGGAACGGTAGAGAGAAATGAACAATTCAATGCGCAAAACCCCGTTATCGTGGGATCTAGGAAACGTATTTTACCGCCGTCCAGTTCCCTCACTTCCGCGCCAATGTCCGACGAGCTCGAAGCCGCCAGCCACCAATGAGCCAGCTGCCAGCCCGGACTCTCCCCCGAAGTCGCCCTCTTGAACCCACAGGATGACCCCCACTTCGAATCAGGAAACTCCGGTCCCCGGTATTCTCTGACCTTCCACCGCCTACTTTCACATCCCACCATCCCTCGCCAGACGACCGGCTAGGCTCGCCCTCGCCATCTCGCGGAGAGCGGCCAAGCCAGCGCATCCAGTTTCCCGTGAGTTCAAGTTACCTTTCTAAGCGCACTATTGGCGGGCATAGCGTCCTCAAAGAAAACGGAGCCCTTCTTGGGGTGCCTCTTCCCGCTCGGGACTCGGGACTCGCCCAGTGCTCTCTCCTCGCCTGGGAGAATCTCAAAAAGACAAGGCCTGGAACTATTTGAGCCGACCGGCCGACGATCCCGACCAAAACCCACCACGGCACCGGGAAGTTGGAACCCCTCCGTTACGTAATTCCGAGGAAACTGTTGCCAACATCGCAACATATCAACTCGACGCTTTTTGAAAAGCATCGCGAGACATCCTCCTTTGTTCTTATGCGTTGCGAGAGAGAGGGAAAGTACAATTTGACAAGGCCTCATATGGCCTATTGATTCATGCAAGGCTACTGTGAATTATGTAGTGACTTTTGTGTTTCCTAAAACCGCCGCCACCCTCCCAAGAACTGTTCCTCCCAATGCCCTATCCGATGCATTTAGTCCTCAGTGATATCGCCGTACTCCCACATGCCGAGGCGCTCCTCCTTAGCCTTGGCCTCAACCTCCTTCAGGTGCTTGAGGTAAGCGGCGTGTTGGCCGCTGCGCTCCCACGCCTTGAGCTTCTTGGGCACCATGGCCTGACCGTTGGCGACGATCTCCTTGTTGATCGAGTCGTTCGGACCCGGCTTCTTGTCGCCCGCGTTGTAGTCAAAGAGGGTGATATAGCTGACGCCCTCCTTGGTGTCGACAAAGTCAAAGCTGGCAACCAACTCCTTACCCTCGGTCAACTCAGCAATAAAGCCGATGGATTCCGAGAAGTACTCGGGCGCAGTGGGCAGTTGCAGGAATGAAAGCGAGGCATCAATTGCCTGGGCCTTGAGCTTCTGGGTGGTGAACTGAGGCTGGTCCAAAGGTCTCAGCTTGGACCAGGGCTGCTTCTCCGTGTTGCCGTAGTCGATGTAGACAACCTCGGCAACCTTGGCTGCGCGGTCGTTGGAGCGAATGCGGCCTCTGTACCATTCACCGTCGGCAGAGAACTTGGCGGCGACAAAGTCACCGGCCTTGGGCGCATCGCCAATAGGCTTGCTGTTTGCCGAGTTAAGGTGGAACTTCTTGAAGTCGTTCATGAGGGTCGTCAACGCAGCAGTGCCCTTGCCAATTTCCTGGATCTTGATCTTTCCGTTGCCGTCAATGTTGGTAATGACAACATCGCGGTAATCCTTGGGCTTGTTCTCGTACGCCTCGGGGGTATCATTGGTGGTCTCGACGGCCTCAGCCTCCTCTTCCTCCTCCTGAGACGGGTCCCAGCTGTGCCACAGTCCCTTGCGGCCCTCCTTGGCCTTCTTCTCAGCCGCAAGCAGCTCGGTGGCGTTGCCAGACTTCTCGGCAGAGTAGCGGTGCACAGATGCCAGACCCTCCTCGACGAGCAACTTGGCGACGTTCTCACGGTTGATGTACAAGTCACCAATGAAACCTCCAACCTTGTCAATGTCGTAAATGTCGACCTCGACGTCACGCTGGTTGCAGCGGCGGCTGGCAAGGTCGATAGCCTCCTGGCCAAACTCCTCGCCGTTGTCGCCCCCACGGCCCGGGGCACGAGGAGCACGAATACCGCCCAAAACCAGCGTCAACTTGACACCCTCACGGGGAATCAGGATGGTGAAGCGAGAGCCAGACTTGACAAAATCAACGATAGCGGGGACCTTCTTTTGCCTTGACAGAGTGCCCAGCTGGATCTTGGCTTTTTGCAGAGACTCGGAAGCATCGGCGTATTGCTTGATCTTGGGGGCCTTTCCAGACCAGATACCCTTCTTCTCTTCCTTGGCCTTCTCTTGGGCGGCGAGGAGCTCGTCGTAGTTGGGGGAGCGGTCAGTGTCGTCCTTGCGGTGACGGATGACAGTCGCGTAACCAGCCTCGACCAGCTCGAGACCAACGTTCTTGCCCTTCTCCGTGACCGTGGCAACCTCGCGGGCCTCGTAGCCCTCGGTAGCAGGCTTGGAGCCATCGATGCTAATCTTGACATGCTTGCCGATAATCTTCTTGCGCAGGAACTCCTTGGCCTCTTCCTTGTAGGGGGCTTCTGACGCCTCGTTGGTGCGAGGACCGCGGATACTGCTGAAGTTGACTCTCTGCTCCTTGTCACCAGCCTTGTTGCGAACAATGATGGTGTCTGCGCCGATAATCTTTGCGACAATCATGTCGGAGGAGGCGCCGTCCGCCTTGGCAACGTGGTGCTGGTGGATGCGCAGCTTCTTGCCCTGAGCCGTCTTCTCAGCACCACGGAGGCTGGCCATCTTCTCGCCGAGCATGGTGGAGTGGAAGTCGTTGCATCTTGCGAGACCCTCGGTAAGGAGGAACTCGGCAATGTTCTTGTTGCCGTTGGGGTGGATGATGGCTGCCACCAGCTGTCCTTGAGCGCTGGCGCCAACGATATCAACCTTTACGCGGCGCTGGAGCAGTCTCTCCTCAACAAAAGCCTTGGCCTCGTTTCCAAACTCTTCAGCAGCCTGGGTCTGGCCGGTAGACTGTATCGTTCGCTCGGTGGTAGGGGTACGGACTCCAGCAAGGAGTGTCATGACCTGCACGTGCTTCTTATCCGAAAGGAGCAATCGCACGAGGAGGCGGTCGCCGCTCAGAACGCGCTCGACAATGCCGTCAACAGTCTTTCCCTTCCACTCGTTCATGAATTGAGGGCCGCCAAGATCGTTCTGGACTTGAATGTTGCCGCCAGTGCCAGACCAGAGACCCTTGCCGGCATTCTTGGCCTCGGTCTCGAGTTGGCGCAAATTGTCCAGGCGCTGAGTAGTAGCCTCATCGTCATCCTTGCGGCCAGCCTCTTCTCTGACCTTGAGCCATCCGGCCTTGATAGCTTCATCGGGGAGAGAGGGGCCATCCTTGGAGAGCAGAGCGGTGCCGAACTCGCGACCAGAAGGTACAGTGTAAGCTACTGTGCATTGGATCTGCTTGCCAACGACAAGTTCTCTGAGGTATTCTCTTGACTGGAAAGCGAATGGCTCATCGCCTTCCTTGTTCAGGCGAGGAGCCGTGACGTATGCGAGGGAGAAGGTCTTTTCGGCTCTGGGGTTGTTGGGAGCGGTCAAGACGAGGGTATCGCCGCTAAGCACGCTCTTGACCTTGGCGAAAAAGGGCTTCGACATGATGGGTGAATCAAGGAGTGACCGGGTGCTATTGAGAAGATATACTATAGAGAGTCATAGATAGTTAGCGTGCTGCCCATCCCAAGCTGTTTGCGGTGACCGTTGTGTGCCTCGTGCCTGCCTGCCGTCTCAGACATTCTGAAGCAATGAGCTCCAGGCATGGGAAAGGAACCATGAACTGCAATTGACAGCTCCGATTGTAGTCACTATAAAGCTTTCCAAGATGACTGTGACTGCCAGTGCACAAGTACATCAAAGATAAAGCCATTGTTTTCAGATGAGGCTGTCTAGGAAGTGCATGGATAGGTGCAGTTCCCCCCGGGTAGAAGCATCAGCTTGCCGCCCTCCCTGCAGGGGAAAGCTCAATGTTCTAATAACCAGAGACCATTGCAAAGAAGGAAAAACAGCAAAAACGTACCGGTAAACGAGAAGGAGTTTGGTAAGGAAAACGGAGAGAGAGGATGTAGAGATGGTTTTCGGGGGGGAGAGGGAGGGAGAGAGTTGTGTTGGAAAGGAGTAGTTGCAAAAGGCGATTGTTCGATTCAAACATTCGACAGTCGTACCGCCTTTTTGACAGCTTGCCTCAATTTCGCCCGGTCTCGAGCGAGCAAGTGTGGGGAAAGGAGTTCAGGGACCACAGTCCACACGGAGGCAGGGGTAGCAGCTCGCCGGTGGCCAGTAGCAGTGGCGGGAGCCCTTAAGCGAGAGCGGGGTTGAAGCTACCTTATGTAAGGTGCTGCACTTGCGGTTTTCGTTGCTCAGGACAGCTTCCCCCTTGAACAACAACAATGCGTCACTTGACTTTCATTCAGGTCCTGTATAAATAAGCATTGAACGATTCGAATCATGAGAATCAAACTGCTAGCTATCTATGACTATCAGTGTTTCTATACTAATTCGAATTGTTGCCAAGAATTTTTCTCGTCTCTGGGATATTCAAAGTGTCCGAGTGCCTTGTTGCAACTGTTACTAAGGAAAAGACACCATCATGCCAGTAATGGCAGCGTTCACGTCATGTCCTACCCCTCACAGTGCAAGGACCAGCCCCGCAACTCCCGCTGGATACTTAGCATTTAGCTTCAGTTTTGATGCTATTCACCATGCCGATTCAGAGATGCGATTTACGGTGATTTTTTTTTTTTTTGTATTACTTTTTTGAAGATGCCATACTACGGTTGAAGGCTTCTACTATCAATTTTCAGCTGCCTTCAATACAGCCAGCGAGAATTGTGAAATGAAGCATATCAAGAGCTTGACAACCCCCCACCTCAGATGGCAATCCGTCCCAAGACAGTGGCTATTCGGGCACAGAGCTTAGTTGGAGATACCAATGACACCTGCAATCGATCATTAGTTTTTTGCTCTTTGCTAGGAGGTAACGATTTTTACATACCGCAGGCGGGACGGGGACCGGCGTTGCCAGTCTTGAGGGACTCCTCGTTGTCACCCTTGCCGAGGTCGTCGGTGCCGCCGTGGACAACGACGGTGCGGCCGATGACGCTCTCGGGGCCGATCAGCTTGACGTGCTTGTCGGTGACGGTGCCCTTGGAGTTACCCTGGCCATCGGTCTCGATGTTGCCAAGGTCACCGACGTGGCGGTTCGCGTCCTCGGGGGCGCCGTGAGTCTTGTTGTGGGGGTTGACTGCAGCGTTCCGTAGTCAGCCTTTGTCTACCTTGCTTCTCGCCGACTGACGGCGTTCCTAGGTTCGTCTCCTCAGGCTACTTACAGTGAGGGCCGGCGGAGGTGCAGCCGTTGGTGTTGTCACCAAAGGTGTGGATGTGCATGCCACGCTTGGCGTTGGCGTCGTTACCGGTGATGTCCCAGGTAATGGTGGTGGGAGCGGACTCGGACTCCTGCTCGAAGACAACGGAGCCGGTGACCTTGGAGTCACCACGGACGACAGCGACTGGGAACCAAGGTTAGCGAACTGATTCATCCTCATCTTGATAAAGCATCCCTCCTTTCCAACCCCCCTTCAAGGACAGCCTCTTCTCCCCCCTTGGCTTTCTCCACGACGGAACGACGGGAACCATCTGAATTCGAACCAAACGGATCGACAGCAGGCAGCGCAAGGAACACGAGGATGGAGTCGATCGAGCTTGAAGATTGGCCAGCGACAAGCTGGTTCCCAGTCGTAGGCACGTCGCGGAGCCATCAGGGTGTTTGCTCTCCCACGTCGTTCCAAAACCCGCTCAATCCAGCGCAAATTGGATGGTCGGCCTGCGTTACCCCTCCATCCCCGGCTCTGCGGCTCTGCACTAGGCCGACGAGGAAGGTTGGTTCCCGTGTATATAAAGAGTGACACTTACCAGCCTTGACCATTTTGATTGATTTTTTGTGGTACTTTGGGTTTGAATTGGTTTTGTTGTTTTGCGGTTGTGGTTGTTCACGCAGCAGATGTTGAGGAGAAGGGAAATGATGAAGGTTCAAGGTGCAAAGAGGGGAAGAAGGGGAAAGTACCTTATGGAGTCTCTGAGACGGGCCAGCTCAGACGGGGGAACACTGGGGAAGAGAAGAGACACACACGCACACACAATACCTCACTCAAGATGGATCCCTCACTGCGAATGGAAAGGGGCGGGCACCGACGGCCGGCTTGCACGAACTCTGTGGACGCCCAATGGGGATGAGACGTGGTATTCCGTAAGGTACCTTAAGGTAGCAAGAAGAGGCACAATTCGGAATTCCGAGGTACAGAAGCTCGCCTCGCCTCGCCTTGTCTTCCGTCAGAGAACCACTGGAAAGCAGCAAACACGGCAAGGTTGTTCGTCTTCTCGCCCGCTGGAATTTCCCCTAAAGTCCGGCATTTACCTACCTTACCCCTCCTCTCCGATTCTAGCAGGTATTATGCCGTGGTCCAAGTCCCGGTGAATGGCCAGCACCACACGCTGTCACGCCCAGCTTGCGCTTGGATGGTGGGGGAAGCTGCTGCCCCGCTCCAGCATTATCTCATCGCCGTCATCTTGGTCCAAGTGGGTTCGGGTTGAGCTTCGGGAGCATCTGGTTGGCTGCTTGCCTCGCAGTCCTCCGGGATGCTTACAAATATATGGATGGTGCAATGCAATGGTGAAGGAGGATGTACTGCGATTGCGGGCAATCAACAATGGAAGTTGTTGCCGTATTCTTGATCCTGCCAGTTTCGTCTTAGGACACGCCGTCAAGAATGAGGTGGAAGAAGGCCGATGCTCGGCCTGCCGTCTCTTGAGCATAGGTAGCGCGCGCCAGCGCCACAATTGACATGTCACAAGAAAGCCCCTTCAACTGTGGCTTGAACAGCGGGGAACTCGGCGAATAGCTGCTGCAGAGTCAGCGGCGCCGTCAGCAACACGGCGCACCTCATTGTCCGAAAGTGCCGGGAGTGGCTTAGGGATACCGTAGGCACCGGAGCCTCTTCATTATTCGGTCCCGGCCTGTAACTCGCAAGTAATCAGCCACAGTACGGCATCTTGGTCATGATACGGGAGGCAGCCGAGCGTATCCAGAAAATGGCCTGTGTTGATGGCCGACTCGGCACCGTGCCACTACCCCATACACAGTCGTCAGACTTGGTCGATAGAGTTTAGGTGCCATCGAGAGCTTCAGCCATTATCCATCATGCGCTATACGTTATCATCAACGCTAGCATGGAGCTCTGGCCATATAGCTGGCGGGGTCGTTTCGAGGCCTCTCTTGCGGACAACTTCTTTGACATCATGACTGCGCCGCGGTGATCATGAATATGTCGAATATGAAACATTCAAATCTGACAGACCTGGATGATCATCAATCATCATCTGCTCTACGATGCTCCGCCGGCATTGCAGGCGATTATGAACGTTTGTAATATCGTCGAGTGAGTCCGTATATGTATGTCAACTGCCATCATCCCTGGAACCTGTGGTCAACCTCGGCACATGGCTGGAGCTTTACTATCAGGTATCATTACCCAAAGCGACATCCGCTCAAATAGCCAGTGCCGGCTGGTTCGGAAACAGCTGCAGTCGTATATGTCGAGCAATGAAGCCAGAATCCCAAAGACGGGCGAAAGTGACCAGCTGGAACAAACTTGAAGCACAAGGGGTGCCCGTCATGCCTCCTGCATGAGTCTGAACCATTCGACCAGTCAAGATAGGCAATTTGACGGCTAGGGATTGCTGACGGGCTGCGGAGACCAATCCCATGGCGCCGTGCTCTCCAGATGCAGTCAGCCCTACGGATCAGAGCTTACACAGTATGGTCGCTTTTTGTACTTGGTAGTAATGAGTCGAGTAACCCAGCTCTATGGGGGTTCCTTCGCCACGCTGTACTACGGAACGGCTGGCTGGCGTACGATACGAGCACGCAAAGATGTTGAGAGAGACACTGCTCCAAATGGCATCTCGTTTCCGACTATGATGGGGCTGCCAACTGAGTGAGACATCCAGGAGATAGGCAGGCCAAGGATACGCGACGCGCGGGTTAGCAGCAACGGCAGCGATCCCGGTGGGACACGTGGTGTGTAATAGTTGACATTCTCCTTGCCGTGCTTGCGAAAGTATGGTATTGGGGGCACAAGGGAACTCCAGCAAACCCTCAGTCTGGGGTCGGCGAGGGGGGTTCCAGCAGATCGAATTTCGGCTTTCCAGATAGCATATCCCTCACCAAATGTCTTCGAGTGCATCTCTGTGTGACGGGGAACAGCAAAGTTTATCGAGAGACGAGACACAAAAAAGCATTGCGGGTAGGTCGGGCATAACCAGCATTTGCTTTTTTTTGTTTCCAAAACGACGACTGATGAAGCTGGATCTCCCGCGGGCCGCGCAACACATTTCCCCCTGTCGGACGTTGTGGGAGAATATACGAGAATGGGGTTCGCTAGCAGATTAATATCCACCCGGCAGGGACCCCGAATTGTAGGAATTTTCCGTGCGGCCAGGTTTTGGACAGGGCCATCCAACCGTCGTGCAGCCCAAGTGTGCGGTTAGTCGAAATACGAGACTGAAAGAAGGAGGTGGTTAATGGAGGGGAGCCGACGTGATGGGCCGCTACTGGGATCATATGAGTACCTATAAGAGACCTGAGTGATCAGTTACTGAAGTCTTGTGTCTCCAGCACTCCGTACTCATCGTCTATCAGGCAGATTGTCAGCAGTGAACATAGCAGCAACAACCGCCAAAAGAATACGAAACGAGCCTAAACTGGCGAGAAAGTGGTGGTGAGGTGGTAAGGTGGTATTCGGTGGTGAAGAAGGGGTGAATGTCGCAAGGCAGGAAACGAAACAGATCAGCGTCGGCCATTGGCTCGCAGCCCGCGAGTGCTGTTCCAGCTTGTCCATCCTGTTGGTACTCTGTACGGGATACGGTCATACGGAGTATGGTCAGTCGAAAATCACACGTACTTGAGCCAATTCAGCATTGACTTTGAGACTGGGCCATTGTGTTCATCTGGGACCGGAACGAAAGTAAAGTTGATGGGAAGTTAGACTGGGAACATCAGACGGCGACTAAACACACGGTCCTCAGTGTCTGAGAGTCGCTCTCACCTTTAATTCTCATCCCCGGTCCTGCCGTCTTCTCCAGTGCCCCTTCCTTCCGTCTCTGTCTGAGAGAGAGGTACCTCACTGTGCAATGCATTCCAAGATACATTATTTGGGAAAGAGCGATGCATACCTACCTATGTAGGTAGAAGAAGCCCTGGAAAGAAGTACGGTACGTACAGTAAGGTAATCGTACTCGTACCTTAATTGGACGTATCAGTTCAGTCAGTGGCAGCCCAGCCCAGCCCAGCCCACACCGCGATGCTCGTGGGAAGCTACACGTGGATAAAGTACCTTTTCACCACTAATCAGCAGTGGAGGTACCTCTCCCACCCAATTGATCCAGTCCAACGTCCTCGCTCATCTTCCCCATCCTGTCCGTCCCAGTTCATTCTGGTGCGGCCAAGCCAAGACTCTCTCGGGCCCAGCTTCAATTTCTTCTTCACCTGGGCCCTTTTCGCAACACATGACGGCCGGATTGCTAGGTACCTGGCTTAATTCCTTTTCTGGGCAGTTTGTTCCTGTTGGTGCCTCATATTTTGGTCCCAGCACCGCGCCCATACCTGCACCCATAACTTCTCACCAGGAACCTTATTACCTTTTTAACCTGACCTTTACCGATCCTGAGTCCCAATTCATTATTAGCGAACACAGAGAGTGATGTGTGTTGTCTCTCTTCTTCTGCATACCTCACACTTGAAAGCGACCGACACGAAACCATCGCTCCTCGTCGTCTGACTTGGGAAAAGAGTACAGTCGGCCGGTCGTCCACGGAAATTTCCCACACGGTCGCCCACCCCGCATATTCCCACGGGGTCAGACATCGAGGGAGACGGCAAAAGCGCACACACGACGAACGCGGAACTACGTGCGACTCGACTTCCTAGTCTACGAAGACAGACATAGCGAGAGTGGTTACGAGAGACGCAAAGAAAGGAAGCAAAGACCTCAGAGGGACCAGCACTATCCTGGGAGAGAGCCTCGGACATTCACTTCAGGATTCGCAAGACTACGCTGCCCTGCCTGCACTGCACCACCGCCAGCCGCAGGCCAACCCCGACGATTCTGACCTTGCGACTGGACTCCTGTGACGACTCTGCAGCCCCGTTCTTGTGGCTTGGTTTTCGCTCTCGCCGCCAGGCAGACGCACCGTGTCGCACCGTGTTATTCGTTGCTTCACTGCTTCACCTCTTCCTCGCCATCCAACCCAGTGAACTGACCGAGAGCCCTTCTGACAGCACCCGACCCTTATTTTTGCTGGGCATTTGTATTTGTCTTCAAGGTCGCACCGCTCTTTTCACCACCTGACGCCCTTTCGACTGTTCAACGCCCCCGTTTGCCGCGCGACGGTCGCCTTGTGCCTGTCAGTCCTAGGCTACATCAGCCCGACGACCTTCTCCAACTTACCGTCGCTGCACATCACTGCCCAGAGGGTAGCCCGAAAGACGTCAGTCCTGCTACCAGGCCCGCCTGCGCCGCACAACAGCACCACCCGCGAGGCTCACCCCGCGACCATCCGGACAAACAACTGTACAACTTACCATCATTCACTTCCCACCCCGACAGCATCGCTCAACATACAACAACACTCTCTCTAGCGCATGTATAGACGAACCCGCGAACAACGAACCCGCACCGTATAGCGACCAACCGTCCCATCGAGCTCGCTACAGACAGATGCAATCAAGCACAACCCGGCATTCTGCTTAGGTCGAAGACGCAGCAGCTTGCCTCAGGGACAGATTCTCACAACTAGTCACACCGACGTTGTCCTCGTTCTGCGCGATCGATATGTCTTTCCGCGGCGACGGTCAGCGCCGTTATGGCCATATACCCCCGGTACAATACCCCACACCCGACCAGTCGCAAGATCAGTCGGCTTACCTCGGGCGGCGGCCGAGTTTCAACAATGGTGATGATGCCGCAATGTTCGATCAGAGCCGGGCGCAAGCTCGTGGCCATCAGCAGTCCGCCTCGAGAGGCGAAGACGAACTCTTTTTGACAAGCCCGACAACGTCAAGCCATTCTGGAGGCCGCCACAGCTACGGCTCGACAAACAATGCGCTTTCCGGTTACCAACACCAGTACCAAGCTTCCTCGCCTCCAACCTCTTCACACTCCAGCTACAATCCTCAGGCCTTTGCGCGGACGCCATCGACGGCATCGACGTCTCTCCCATATCACCCCGGTCCCCCGAGCCGATATGGATCCGCCGCTTCGCCGACATCATACACATCTCCAACACAACCTAGCTACCAGCCGGCGGCCTATAACCCGGCTGCCTATGCGAGCACAACAGCTCCCCAGCGTCAACCGACATACTCAGGCTACAACAACTACAGCCAAAGCTACGGTTCTCCGACGGCTCCTCAGTCCTCCCAAGGGTTCGGCCACTCGCCTACCTCCTCATACCAGGGCACTTTTCCCTCCGCGCCATCCGCGACTTCGCCCGCACCAACCTACGACTCGACTTTTTCGCAGTCCTACGGCAACAACTACAACTCCTATCCGACAAACGGTCACAGCTCGGCAGCGTCGTACGCTTCGGACAACTCGCAGACACCCTACCCGATCCAGTCGTCGATGCCCGTCGGGCCAAACTACGCCGATCCCTCTTCCTTTTACAGCCGGTCTGACTCGGCAGCATCCCCGATTCCTTCTCCGCAGATTCAACAGCAGCACTCCCCCGGCTTGCAAAGACACCCTACCAATGCCCCTCTACCCAG